CTTCTTCTTCTCCTTCCTTTTCTTCTTCTTCTTCTCCTTCCTTTTCTTCTTCTTCTTCTCCTTCCTTTTCTTCTTCTCCTTCTCCTTCTCCTTCTTCTTCTTCTTCTTTCTTTCTTTCTTTCTTTCTTTCTTTCTTTCTTTCACTTCTCCTCCTCCTCCCTTCTTCTCCTTCCTTCTTCTCCTTCCTTTTTGTCTCTTCTCCTCCTCCTCCTCTTCTTCTTCTTCTTCCCCTTCTCCTTCTTCTTCCTCTTCCTCTTCTTCCTCTCCTCCTCCTCCACCACCTTTTTGTTTTCCAGGTCCATTTTGGAAAAGGAGGGCCCGAAGTCACTCTTCCGTGGGTTGGGCCCCAATCTGGTTGGAGTCGCGCCATCCAGGTAGAAATTTGAAGACAGTTTTTTTTAAAAAAAATTCCTCCATTATTTTTCTCCCCCAAGAGGGTTCGTTTGTGGGTGCAGGATGGAGGGGGGTGGGCACAAAGGGAATTCCGGTCTTCGGGAGTTTCTGGAGAGTTGTGAGGATTTGCTGCTAGATCCTCCCGGTTTTAAGGCGAGGGGGAAAGACTAATTTACTGGCTTGAACACCCGTACTGAACTGGTCAGAAGTGCTGCTTTGATGCCCCTTAATTCTGTAATTGGCAGTCCTTGGCTTAACCGCCATTTTAGTGACCAAAGTTAACAAGGGCACTGAAAAATGGGATTTTATCACCGTTTTTCACACTTGCAAGATTCCCACGGTCATGCGATCAAAATCCGGCCGCTTGGCAAACTGGTTCACAATTATGACGGTCTCAGGCGTCCCGGAGTCACGCGATCCCCTTTTGCGACCTTCCGGCAAGCCAAAGTCCACGGGGCAAGCCAGATTCACTTAACGACTGGTGTCGCTAACTTTAACAAGGTTTGCTTAATAAGGATGGCAAAGAAAGCTCGTCAGACTTACCAAAGAAGTCTTTCTTCATCATCCTCTCCTTTTAACGACTCCATAATCCCTTTGCCGGGTGGACTCTGGGCCACTGAACGGAACTGAGTGTTTACTGGCCGGATGCCTTTCCTTGTTGCCAGGGCGTAGTTTTTGTTCAGCAGATATATTCTCAGTGTGCCCAGAGAGAGAAATGTCTGCCTCTCCCTAGGATCAAACTCACAGCCTCCTGATTTCAATTGTGGTTGTAAGTTGAAGGGTACCTATACAGTTAGTCCTCGACTTACATCAGGGTGAGTGGTGACCATTCAAAGGTACAACGGCACTGAAAAAAAGTGGCTTATGACCGTTTGTCGGTTATGACAACTTTTACGGCATCCCCATAGTCCCGTGATCCAAATCCAGATGCTTGGCAACTCCTATTTACGACGGTTGCGGTGTGTCCCAGGGTCACGCTGCCCTTTTGCGACCTTCGGACAAGCGTCGACGGGGAAGCCCGATTCACTTAACCACTGTGTTACTAAGTTAACGACTGCAAGGATTCACCGACTGCAAGGAAGATCGTTCAAATGGGGCAACACTCGCTTAACAAAATGTCTGGCTTAACCACAGAAACATCGGGTCGTAAGCTGAGGACTCACCTGCGTTTGTGTCGCTTCTTTCCAGGGCGGTTTATTTTGCGTGTTATTCCCGAGCGAAGGAGCAATTCAACCGCGTCTTCGTACCCAACAGCAATATGGTCCATATTGCTTCAGCGGCTTCCGCAGGTGGGTTGACTTGCTCCTGGTAGCACGTCTTGCTGTGCTTGTCCTTGTCCGGTTGGACCGAGCCAGACACGCCCCCTTCGAGGGCAAAAATTGTATTTCAATGTCAGCTGGGGACCACTGTGAAGGGCTGGCACAACCTCGTTTTGTTTTTTCCATTGCGTTTCACGCAATTCGGATATTCTCTCTCCTGCACGCTCCAGAGTGTGGTGGCTGGGGAATTCTGGGAATTGAAGTTCCTTGAGGACTGGTCCCCATATTTTCTGCTGTTTCCCCCCCCCTTTGGCTCTTCTCCAGCTTTTGTGACTAATTCCCTGATGAATCCCATCTGGATGGTGAAAACCAGAATGCAGCTGGAAAGAAGGTAAGGGGGAGGGGCATGGCTGGATGGGGGAATTCTGGGAAGTGAAGTCCATCTATCTTAAAAAGTTGCTGGGTTTGAAAAAATGCTGCACTAGAGCCTTAAATCTATATAAAAGCAAAATACCCCTCACGCATCATCACAAAATCTCCACAACTGTAAAGCCTACAGACTGAAAATTTGGCACGTATGGATGTTCCTCTTGGCTTCTAGGGGCTCACTAAGAAAGGATTTTTCGAAATGACCATCAGAGCATTTAGTATTTCTTTTATTATTATTATTATTATTATAATTATTATTATAATTATTATTATAATTATTATTATAATTATTATTTATTATTATTTATTATTATTATTATTATTTATTATTATTATTTATTATTATAATTATTATTAACATGCTCTGATGCTAAGGAGTTCTACTCCCCTTCCCCACCTGAAAAGAAATGTTTCCGATGTAAAACACAAGCAGAGGAGAGGAGTTTAAGTTTCAGTTCACCAAACAGCCTTAGTACAGAACACTTAAGCTAAGCCACGCCCAGGCTCCTTGCTGTCTCCCTGCTCACACAGCAAATACTGCTTCAGTTTCCAAACAGCCCTCAATTCTCTCACACATGCTAGCCAGGTGAATACTGATGGATGCTGGTAGGCAGAGGCAGAATTTTCCCCCCTTATTTTCCTCCCCCAAAACTAAGTCCCACCGTATAGTTTTGTAGCAAAGCACGGGTATTCAAGTTAGTTTTAGATATAAATTTATATATTTCTGTTTTGAGAGGGATAGAACTGGGAACGAGGGCACCCCTGGCTTACTGACTAGTTGTAAAAACCAGGATAGGCCCTGTTTAAACGATTTAAAATCCGGCTAACCCAACCGCTCATTTGCTGATCCTTCCCTGCCTGCTGTAGAGTCCGTGGCTCGAAGCAAATGAACACCCTCCAATGTGCCCAGTATGTTTACCGCTCAGAAGGTGTCCGGGGTTTTTACCGAGGCCTGACCGCCTCCTACGCGGGCATCTCCGAGACCATCATCTGCTTCGCTATTTATGAGAGATTGAAGCAACTCTTAAAAGATCCCAGCCGGTCTCCTTTCACGGGAAACCCGGAGAAGAGCTCCTCCCATTTCCTCGGGATCACGGTTGCTGCCGCCGTTTCCAAAGGATGCGCGTCCTGCATCGCTTACCCACACGGTAGGTTTTTTTTCCTGCTGTCATCCACTTCTCTAAACCCTTTATTGAACCAAGAAAAGCCAGGCCTGGAAGGATTTTGCCTCGTCTTCTTAACGACCCCATAATCCCTTGCGGGGTGGAGTCTGGGCCACTGAATGGAGCTAGCAGTGTGTTTGAATGGCCGGATGCCTTTCCTGTTGCCGATGCGGAGTTTTGTTTGGCAGATAATATTCTCAGTGTGCCCAGAGAGAAATATCTGCCTCGACCTGGGATCGAACTCACAGCCTCCTGATTGGGAGGCGAGAGCGCCGCCTCTAGGCCATCGTAACACTCCAAGGATTTGCCTCTTCTTGTTGTGAAAAATCAGGTTTCTAGTCCTTATTGTTCCGAGCACACCTTGCTCTGGAACGTTCCCCCCAACAAAACAACTGCACACTTGCCTGCAGGAAGGTAGGAGGGATTAAGGTGTCTTAACACGTAAGCGTGACCAAATTTGGCATTCCCCGTGCAATAGAAAATGTGAATTTTGTTAATAACGGTGCTCTGCGGTACCTCACGAGATGTTTTAACAGGCTTGTTAATTTTTAGATGTTTTCTGGATTTGGAATCTTCTTAACGGTGGAGGCTAGAGCCCCTTTTATAGATTTTTATGCCACCCCCACCCCACCCCCAAATCAGGGCTGAATTTAAATGCAGGTTGGTGTGCTGACATTTCGCCTTCTCCCCTGTCCCCAGAGGTCATCCGGACAAGGCTACGCGAGGAAGGAACCAAGTACCAGTCCTTCCTCCAGACGGCCCGGCTGGTATTCCAGGAGGAAGGATATTTTGCTTTTTACCGCGGACTTTTTGCCCAGCTGATGAGGCAAATCCCAAACACGGCTATCGTCCTGTCCACCTACGAATTGATCGTGTATCTGTTAGAAGAGCAAGTGAAGTAGCAGCTGGCATCGATTCCGAAGCCCAGACCGTACGCAGCCAGTAACAAAATATAATAATAGTAATAATAATAATAATAGCACAACGATTGTGGGACAGTTCACAATACGCTAGGAAAAAACAAACTTTGAAACGGACAGTCTGCTTGCTGGATGTTGTTTTGAGGAGGGGGCATTTCTCCTCTCCACAACCCCCATCCCTTTTTCCCCCCAGTGCAATTTCCCTTCCAAAATCTTTGGTTTTTAAAGGTACGTATGTTTATAAGGGTTATGTATTTTTTTTTAAGTTAAAGGAGAAAAAGGTTCAGAAATTAAAAAGAATGACTGAATTAAATTATGCTATTTAATTTCTGTGGATGCCGTTGGGACAGCTTCTTCTTTTATATGCTCATGTTTTGTTTTTTTATTATGGAAAGTTGCAATTCTCTGATTGGGAGATATTTCTTGGAGGGGGGAAAAAAATAAACACCATTAGCTGTGAAATGTTCACAGGGGTGTGGAAAATGGTTGGGATACGTCAGTCTAAGGCAAGGGTCTCCAAACTTGGCAACTTTTAAGACTTGTGGACTTCAACTCCCAGAATTCCTCCTCCAGTCCATGTTAGCTCATGAATTCTGGGAGATGAAGTCCACAAGTCTTAAAAGTTGCCAAGTTTGGAGACCCTTGGTCTAAGGTATTGGGATATTTTTGCTTTTTTTAAAATCATTTTCTACAAGAAATTTCTGATGAAGGTCAGATTGGAATGTCATTGCGCAGCCTACCTATTTATACACTGATTTTTCCCCCCACAAAATATGATCAGCTGGGGGTACAATACCGTGTTTCTCACAAAATAAGGCCGGGCCTTATTTTTTTTTGAGCCCTGAAAAAACAGCTAGGACGTCTTTTCGGGGGTGAATTAATCCCCCCCCCCGCGCACCAGCGCCATCTCCAACAGGACATAGATAGATAGATAGATAGATAGATAGATAGATAGATAGTCGGTCTATCTATCTATCCACCCACCCATCTACTATCCCTCTTATCCCCTCTTGTCTCTATCCATCCACTATCTCTCTTATCCCTCCTCTCTGTCTGTCTATCCATCCTTCTATCCATCCACTATCTCTTATCCCCCTCTTGTTTGCCTGTCTATCCTTCTATCCATCCGTCTGTCTGTCTATGGTGTCTGTCTGTCTGTCTATCTATCTATGGTATCCATCTATCCATCCATCCCTTTCTTCCGTCCTTCCTCCCTCCCTCCCTATCCATACATCCCTTCCTTCCTATCTATCTATACATCCATCCCTTCCTTCCTCTCTCCCTCTCTATTTATCCATCCATCCCTTCCTATCTATCTATCTATCTATCTATCTATCTATCTATCTATCTATCTATCTATCTATCTATCTATCTATCTATCTATCTATCTATCTATCTATCTATCTATCTATCTCTATCCATCCTCTGTCTGTCTATCCAACCATCCATCCTCTCTCTCTCTCCAAACGCACTGAGGGCGATCTTGCGAGGAGGAAGGAGGGAGGAACTCCCATTATTTTCCAAGGTCCAAAGGTGTTTCGCTCCATCGAAAACAGAGACAATCGCCCATCACGCCCGAGGCGGCTTTTCAAGCGTGATCGGCGAAAAGACCTCACTCCAAGCACGACGTGGACACTTCGCCCCTTGTTTTTTTTCCTAATCCCCGCGCGTGGTGGTGGACTCGCTTCCCCTCGCCTCCCGGCACGACGCTGCCCTTTCACGAGGCAGCCCTTGGCCTCCCCCGCCGCCGCCCACCTTCCCGTTTCCCTCCCCTCCCCCCTCTTCTTATAAAAGAACCGCGGCGGCTGGGCTGCAGCGGAGATCGAGCGGACGCGTGGCTTGTTCAAGAAGCCGTGGGGGGGGAACGCGAGCAGCCGATCCCAGCCGGGGAAGAATCCCGGATCGCAGTAACCTCGGCCCGCGCGTGTCCGCGGCGGGCGGGTTGGTTGGGGACCGCGTGTAACCCCTGCAGAAATGGATCCACCGTGGATCCCTCCATGCTCGGGGGGAGGATCCGGGCTCGGTGGAAGAGGCGGAGCCGCGGAAGGTCAAACCGAGGGAAGGAGGAGGAAAAGGCGCTGATCCCAACCAGCCACCGCCGCCGCTGGATTCCCCCCCCCCACACCGCCTTGGAACGTTCGCCCCCAGGCGGCCGCGCGATTGGCTGCCCGGCGTTCTAACCCCCCGCTGGGGGGGGGGGGAAGCTGAGACTCAACGTTCTAAACAGGCGCCGAACGTTCTAAAAAGGCAACTCAACGTTCCATCGGGGCGCTTCGGATACACGCGGGGATTTTTTTGCGGGTTTTTTTGTTTCCTCCCAACACGAGGAGGAGGAGGAGGAGGCGGCGGCGACCCTTTCCCCCACCTCCTTTTTCTCTCTCTCCTCTCCTTCTCCATTCGCGACGGGGTTTGCGATTCCGTTTCTCTCTCTTCTTTTCTTTCTTTTTTTCTTTTAATCCCTCCATTCCTCTCCCCATGGAAGACGTCGGCGCCTTGGTGGCGGCTTACTCCCGGGGCCTGGCCGGCGGCCTCGGCGTGACCGCGTGCGCCGCCGCCGCTGCAGGCGGAGTCTTGCTTTATAAAATCGCGCGAAGGTAAGAAGAAGGCCGGGCTGGGGCTTTGTATATTTCCTCTCGATCGAAATGAAAAAAAAAAGGGATGGGGGGTGGGATGTGTGTGTGACCCTCAATGAGGCCCAGAAGCGGATTTGCATTCTTACGACCTCGTGGGGAGGGGGGCGGGTTGGGGAGGGGACTCCGCGCTCTATCTTAACCTCCCCCTTTGGTTTAATCTCCCCTCCCTCCCCATTCCTCCACTTCGCGCCTTTATCAAACGCTTAAAAGTTTTTCTTTTGGGCGGGGGTGGGAGGTTGTCTCGCAGACTGGGGAAGAGCCAGGGATGTACTCGGAGGTGTTGCTCCCCCACCCCCCGTGGCTTCAAAGGCGGGGGCGATGGGGGGGGGAGAAATCGCCCCGGGGAGCTTTGCAGCCTGCCAGCCCACGTGCGCCTTCAGCATGGGAGGGCAGCCCTTCCGGGTTCACCTTTGCACAAGCCGAGTGCGTATGTGCCTGTGCCTGCCTGAGCGCGTGGTGAATTCAGAGTAGCGTTGAAAAGGAATCTCCGCTGAAATGGCCAAAGATAGATATGTCTCTGTCTGTCTGTCTGTTTCTCTCTGTGTCTGTCTTTCTGTCTCTCTCTCTCTCTCTGTGTGTGTGTCTCTCTCTCGCTCTTCCTGTCTGTTTCTCTCTCCCTGTGTCTCTGTCCGTTTTTTTCTCTTTCTGTCTGTCTGTCTGTCTGTCTGTGTCTCTCTCACTCTTTCTGTCTCTGTTTTTCCCCTCTCTGTGTGTGTCTCTGTCTCTCTCTCTGTGTGTCTTTCTCACTGTCTCTGTCTCTCTCTGTGTGTGTCTCTGTCTCTCTGTGTCTGTCTGTCTTGTCTCTCTGTCTCTCTCGCTCTTCCCGTCTCTCTGTTTTTCTCTCTCTGTGTGTCTCTGTCACTGTGTGTCTCTATCTCTCTCTGTGTCTCTGTCTCTCTCTCTCTTTCTCTCTCTGTGTCACTCTGTCTCTCGCTCTCCCCGTGTCTCTCTGTCTGTTTCTGTCTCTCTCTGTCTCTCTCCTCTCTCTGTCTCTCTGTGTCTCTATTTCTCTGTCTCTCTCTCTTCCTGTCTCTGTTTCTCTTTCTCTCTCTCTCTCTCCCACACATACACACACACTCACTCACTCACTCAACACACCGAAGCTGCAAAAAGCTTGGGGATAAGTTAGCAAATTGGTGTGGCCTACCTTCCAGGGGGGTCGCGAGGAACATCAGAATCTTGAGCTGTGCTTTCCAGTCCGGTTTGCCCCAAATGGCCACGTCTTGCTGGGAGCCAGGTTCCTGGAGAAGCAAGCCGGATGTTAGTGTGAGATTGTTCGCGTGCAAAAAGCCAATGCTACACAACTTTGCTACAGATTTTCTTTGATTTAAGCTGGGTCTTTAGAGGTCGCATTGGGGTGTTTGGAATAGGAGACCACGGGGAAATCCAAGGGCAGCAGAGTACCTGTGTTTTCCCGAAAATAAGACCCTGTCATATATATTTTTTTGCCACCAAAAAAAGACCAGGTCTTATTTTAGGGGGGGGGGATGTCATCCACCGACTAACCTCACTTGCGCACGTTGCTCCCAGCCTCCTTTTCGGTGTCAAAGACACATCATTCATTGTCACCCTTAACCCTGGATTTCCCTCACCTCCTATCGTAACTCATATTCTCCAATGGGACACATCCATAGCCAGGAGTCATCAATCATGTGCTCCAGTTAGATATCACCTAGTTATTGTTTTTGAAAAACTATTTATGGAATGCACTTTCAATTTCCAAACTGCCGCACTGCTCTTTCAAACCCCCTTTCCCCCTCCCTTTCTGTTGGCAACTCTAAAAAGACCATAGAAATATTTCCCACCACCCCCTGGTTGTATCGTAATTCATATTCTCCAATGGGACACATCCATAGCCCAGAGTCATCAATCATGCTCTCCAGTTAGATTTCTGCGGGGCAGAAACTGCAGTCACCTAGTTACTATCTTTGAAAAACTATGTATGGAATGCACTTTCGATTTCCGAGCTGCCACACTGATCTTTCAAACCCCCTTTCCCCCCCTTCCCTTTCCGTTAGCAACTCTAAAAAGACCATAGAAATATTTTATGAGTTGACAAACGTAACCACTACGCGGCTTGGCTTAATGGCAATGCGAAACCTGGCTCAAAAACAGTAATTGTGAATGGGGACAAGCAATTAAACATGAGCCAGCCCCCCCCAAAAAGCTAATACAATCCTTGGCTGTATAAACAGAGACCCAGAATCAAAATCTCGTGAAGTATTAGTACCGCTTTAGAAAGCCTTAGTTAAGGGCACATCTGGAATGCTTGCTGCATCCAGTTTTGGCCACCACGTTACATAAAAAAAGATGTCGAGACTGGAAAAAGTGCAAAAGAAGAGCAACTAGGGTGATTAAGGGGCTGGAGATAAAAACATGAAGAACGGTTGCAGGATTTGGGTTTGGCTAGTCTAGAGAAAAAGGGGCCAGGGGGTGATATGATAGCAGTATTCCAGTATTTAAGGGACTGCCACAAAGAAGAAGGCAAGACAAGAAATGAATGGAATAATCGAGAGAAGCAACCTGGAATTAAGGAGAAACTTTCTAATAGTGAGGACAATTAACCAGTGGAACAGAAGTTGCCACCAAAAGTTGTGGGTGGGGGCTTTTAAGAAGAGACTGGATAGACATCTATCAGAAATGGAATAGTGTCTCCTCCTTGAACAGGGGGGGGGGGGTGGACTAGAAGACCTCCAAGGTCCCTTCCAGCTTTTTTTCCGATTGCTTACTTAACGACAGCAAGGAAAGTCATAAAATGGGGCAAATCTCAGTTAACTGTCTAGATTGGCAGTGAAATTTTGAGCTCAGTTGTGGCTGTAAGACAAGGATCACGTGTAAGCAGAAGTTGAGGGATTTCCAGTTTAGATTAGCTGTTGGCCGGTGAGGATAGGACAGGCACTCGTACAGGGATGCTGCAAATCATTCTTTCGGGAACAAATTGCCTATTTCTGAGACACCTGTCTATTTAATACCCAGTTTGTTAGCGCACTGGAAAGAATGAATTAACATTTTGGTTCTGCTTGAAAGCTGAGAAGTGAGGAATCCGCGGATAGTGCTTAGCTTGGGGGGGAAATGGCTGTTTATGGCTTATTGAAAAGACAGCTTATTTTTATTATTTCTCATGTGTTTTATTGGGTGCAATAAAAAGGAAATGCATTTAACTTTGGGGAGGCAAGGTCCTTTCTGTATTTTTACTTCAAAAGTTGAGAAGAAACACTTTAACGTACCGAAGAGAAGGGCATTTCAAACACACAGCCAAGGTGTTCTCAGGAGCTGTTTAAAATTAATATTTGCGTGTTCGTTTTTTTTAAAGAACATGCAACATATTGAGAAATTCTTCTGACTAGCTAACGGCAACAATTAAGGAAACCCTACAATAAAATAATCCTAAACCGGCTCATTTAAACCCTTGAAAGGACTTGACAGTTTCCCCTACTGAATCAGCTGTTGTAAAAAAAAAATAACTTAAAAATTGTTCAGAGTAGGAATTGGCAGGGATGGGTTCCTTTCTCTCCAGAGAGTGCTGATGAGCAACATCCTAATGAAAAATAGCGTGGATTTTGCAGATTTAACGGCAAGCTGATGAAAAAGTTTAAATTGCTTTTTAAAGTGATTTAAACCCTTTAAGGGTTCCTCTCGCTGTTGCTGTTTTGTGGCAGCCACCTTCTGCAAGTCTCTTGATTGTCAAACCCTCGTCCCCAAGCAGTATGGGTTTTGTAGTTCCCCCACTTTCAGAAAGCAGCCAAACTAGAGAAAAGAGTGTCTTATAAAAAATACTATGAAAGCCAGTTGGGGATCTCCAAGGAAGCAGAAGTCACCCCTTTTTTTGGGGGGGGGGCTGTCTTTACTCCATGGCAAGAGTCAGCAGTTGCCACCCCTGGGGCAGAGCCACATGGGAACAAGTGTCCAGAAGCTATGGAATCTCCTCCCTGCCATTTGCTAACACCTGTTAGGCAGAAGTCCAACAGGTGCTGACACCCGACCCTGTTTTCTAGGGAGATTGGCAAGGGGGGAATTGGGGCAGCCGCATCCCCCTCCCCTTTATTGAATTAGCCCTAGCAGCTGGTCACATGTGTTGCACATGTGCTCATACTGGATTATTATTTTTTTTCAACAAAGGGATATCTTTTCCTCCACAGACATCAATCCTTTTGTCTTTCCCCTCAGTCTAATTCAGAAAGGAGGGAAATGGCTTCCTTTATTTTAATTTATTTTAATTTTTTTTTTTTTTTGCTTTTAGGCAGAAAATAGGAAGAAAAACTTCTTCCCATGAAAAGAGGCGGCCACATATTGGGGCAGGGCTGCCTCTTAGACCAGCCTAGTGGAGACGGTTGCTAGGTAACCCCGAGATGCTTCCTTTGCCAGGCAACGGAAATCACCCCTCCTGAAGAAGCAGGCAGGAAGTGGCAGGGTTACTAGGCAACCAGCAAAAACAACATGGCTTCTTCAGAAGCAGGCAGGAAGTGGCGAAGTTGCTAGGCAACCAGCACATGGCTTCTCTCCATCCTCCCAAGCCAACAGGCCTTCCAGAATGCCTTGGTGCCATTTTTGGAGCCAAAGGTGACAACATGTAGTTGGCGATGGGACCCATAAGTTTAAAGTGGAGTCCAGTTTTGGGGGGGGCACGAATAAAATAGGGATTGGGCCCTGCTTGTGAGCCCCTCCCCACCCCGACAGAAGGACCATGGCATACCCCCTTGTTTGTGCAAAAATTGTGATTTAAAATATTTTAAGGTGTAAAACTCCTCCTGCAACATAAGAATTGTCCAACTTCAGAGTTGGGGGGCCGATTGTTTTTTTTTTTATGGCTCTTGATTTCTCCTTCCTGTTTCCCCCCCTCCCCACACAGGCCGAAGCCCACCCACACGACCGTCAACTGCTGGTTTTGTAACCAGGATACCGTGGTGCCGTACGGGAACCGCAATTGCTGGGATTGCCCGAATTGTGAGCAGTACAACGGATTTGAAGAGGTGTGCCCTGCCGTTGGATCGGGTGGGCGGTCCCTTTTTGGGGTCCCAGTGGGTTGGGACCCATCAAAGTTTCTGCCCCTTTGTAGCATTAAGATTTTTAATTAATATAAATTAGTTTAGTTTGCTTCGGGGGGACGGACGGAGCCGAGGGATGTAGATAGGTGTGCTAATTTTTCTCTGTTGTGAAAAAAGGTCGAACCCTAAAATGCCACAGAAGAACAGAAATAAAAGGAGATAAATTGGTTAATGTGAAAGATTCCCCCAGCTGTAAAGTTGATATATTGACCCCGGTTAATTGAAAAGCGTTAACGAAATGCAGGGGACGCTTCCTCAGCTCAATCCAAGTAAAAACGTAGCTATGAATTTAGGGATGTTTAATTCTGTGTTTTAGCCCCAACGGCTCCCAAAACTAATATACGATGCACAATACAAAGACTTGAAACCCTAGAAATTGGGGCAGAGAAGCCAAAAATAAGTCCAGGAGAAGCTACATTTTGCAAAGCTTCCAGGGATGAACAAGGCAGTCCTTGCTTGCAAATTTATAAAGTAAAGACCAACAGCATGCAAGGAAGAAGAGATGAGGAGGGAAGAGGAAAAAAAAACAAAGAAACTCAGTTCATAAATGGTGTAGAGGTTTTGAAAGCGATCAAAACCGATTTGTTGGAATCTTTTTTTCCCCCCTGTTCCTCTTAGAATGGCGATTACAACAAGCCAATCCCAGCTCAATACATGGAGAATCTAAACCACGTCATTTGTGGGGCGGGGGCCTTCTACGATCCCACCAAGCCTCAGCAGTGGGTCAGCAGCCAAGTTCTCCTTTGTAAGAAGTGTAACAACCACCAGACGATGAAGATCAAGCAACTGGCGTCCTTCACACCCCGAGAAGAGGTAGGGAGGGGGCCCCAAGGGAGAGCGAACGAAAATTCCCTTCCCCTGGCTGGCTTTGCTCCTGGCCTTTACGAATTCCGTTCCTTCACGGTTAAAAAGCTGTTTCAAATTAATTACCTCTGATAAGAACGAGCCTTGCCAAGGTGGTGCAAGGCTGCCAAGAACACTAAGATAAAGTTACTAAGAAATATTCCAAACACAAAAAGTTTCCAAACACAAACTAAGAGAATCCCAACGTCCACAAGGCTTGAGTGCAAAAACTTCTTTGCTTCCCGCAAAGAACTCCGGTTTCTCAGCTGGCTTTTATCTCTTAAGGGAGGGGCCTTTACTTTGCAGCCTTACTCGAGTCGCCTGTGCTGCTGCAGCTGCTCTTTCCTTCGAGGAGCCCTGCATGCACGCACACTGGGCACAGGCTTCTCAGGGACCTCTTCCTCACTGCTGCCAGCCTCCACAATCTCCAAAGGCAGCCTTCCACTCCCTGATGGTCCTGGCCGCATCCCTACATCACATGCAGGCCCCTCACCTGAGTCCTCGCTCTCCGAGACCTTAGCCGTCCGCACCTGCTGCCGGCGAACCACAACATAAACAGGCCCTATCAAGTTTTTAATTCTAGTTTATCTTTTTTTTGTGGGGGGGAGCAGGGCAAATATGATGAAGAAATCGAAGTATACAAACACCACTTGGAGCAGACCTACAAACTCTGCCGGCCCTGCCAAGCCGCCGTCGAATATTATATCAAGCATCAGAACCGCCAGCTTCGAGCTCTTCTCCTCCGGCACCATTTCAACAACCGGAAAAGCGACAAGAGTTACATGCAGGTAGGAAGGGGTGACCTCCCATCTCGGTGCCATCTTCCAGGACTGCAAAGGGCCCATCACCACCACCCCTTCATTCGGGGCAAAGAAGAGGTTGAACCCTCTTTATAAAAAAAAAATTAAAAGGGCAGGAGAGACACCCTGAGCTGGTTTGTCTGGGGAAAGCGTGTTATTTGTTGAGCTTCGTTTTTGAAAGCCATCAATTTTGTTGCCTGGTTTGAGTGGCGGCTTAAGGGACAGGCACGTTTAAAAAGTCCTGCCGTTGCATCCTTGGGCTTTAAACCCGGGGAGGGGGTTTGAACCCTACCCTGATTCTAATCTTGAATTATTATTTGCCTTTTTTTTTAATTTGAAGGCTGCGTTCAACGCAGCGGGGGACTGAAGAGATGGAAAACTTAGCAGTTCCGCTGCCCGGTTCTGTCTCTTTTTCGGCTGCATGCAAAATATTTTATATCTTTCTTCTCTATATATAAAAGGGGAAATACCCCTCACACATCATCACAAAATCTCCAGAACTGTAAAGCCTACAAACTTGAAATTCGGCATGTATGTTCCTCCTCTTGGCTTCTAGGTGCTCACTAAGAAAGGATTTTTCAAAATGACCCTCAGAGCATTAGTATTCCTTATATTATTATTATTATTATTATTATTATTATTATTATTATTATTATTA